TATATATTTAGCTTTTTAACTATGTTCTTCATTGCATTTTGTCTATGTGGTGGCTCTTGGGATTATAAGTATGCATTCTTAACTCTTTGCAGATTATTAAGAGCTGATACTGTACTACTTCACACATATTGTAGAAACATTGCAACAAAATTACCAGTTGGTCCATTTGTAACCCCCTTTATCCTTTATACTCTGATGTCGTATGTATTACACCTACATATGTTATAAATTCCACAAGGCAGTGTTGTAATTTTTTTGTTTTAGACAGGCAGGTTTACTTAAATTACTAGGTAAAAAGTAGTTTTTGTTTTTTTTTTTAATTTACCATTTCTGATGCTCTTTATTCTTTTCTGAAGATCCTACTTTCTAACTGGTATGTTACCTTCAGTCTGAAGAACTTTCTTTTGCATTTCCTGTTTTCTAGGTTTGCTGGCAACACATTCTCATAGTTTTAGTTTATTTGAGATATGTTTGCCTTTATTCTTGAAGGATAATTTTTCTGGCTATATATTGACACTATTTTTCTTTCAGCATATTCAAATAATTGTTTTTCTGTATTTAATGTCATTTATTTTTCTGACTGCTTTTATGATTTTTTTCTGTATTATTGATTTTCTTCATATTTATTATTTTTCTTTTTAGATAGAGTGGGAGGGAGAGAGAGGAAGAGAGAGAGAGAAACATCAACGTGAAAGGAACACTGCCACCCGCACAACTAACCAGGGCCGGGGACAAACTGCAACCGAGGTACGCGCCCTTAGTGGGAACTGAACCTGGGTCTCTCTGGACCATAGGCTGACGCTCTAACCGCTGAGCCAAACCGGCCAGGGTTCTTCATATTTATTTTATTTGTGGTTCACTGAACTTCTTGAAGGTTTTGGAATTTTTGTCTTCCACCAAATTTGGGAAATTTTTAGCCATTATTTATTTTTAAAATTTCATCCTTTTCTTTCGCATTTTCTGGAACTCCAACACAGATATATTGACCTTTTGACAGGTCCCTAAGATTTTGGTTCCTTATTTTTCAATCCTTTTATTCTTCAGATTGGGAAATATTTACTGATATATCATCATGTTCACTATTTCTTCTGTCACCATTTTTATTTTAAGCCTTTTTAGTTAATTTTAAAATTTTAGATAATGTATTTTGTAGTTCTCAAACTTTAATTTGGTTCTTTTTTATAGTTTCTATTTGAGCATATTTTCATTTACACGTTGAGTATAATTTTATTGCTACTTTAGAGTCCTTGTCTGCTACTTGGATTCACTTTTTGATTGGTTTCCATCTATTGTTGTTTTTCCTGAGAATGGGTCATGTTTTCCTGCTTCTTTATGAAGTAATTTTGAGTTGTATCCTAGTCATTGCTGTGATTATTATGTTACAGAGACTCTTGATTCTGTTTTATTCTTTAAAATATAGGTTTTTAAAATTTGTTTTAGCAGGCAATTAATGATTATATTTAAACTACAAACCACAAAATATTTTCCAATTAGGTTTTCTTTTTGCTACGTTGGTAGCATTCAGCCTATTGGGAACATTTTCTTAACCTTTATTTTCATTGTCTAGATTAGCACTATTCAATATAAATGTAACACAAGCTATATGTGATTTTGTAATAGCCATTGGTAATCAGTGAGTTTTTTTGTAACTGCCTTAGATCTATGGAGTCTTGCAGATGTCCTCTGTCTGGCTAATCCTTCTAGGTTGCTAGTGACCAGATAGTTTGTGATCACATGATCATCTCTATTTCTTTTATATAGGACTGACTGAAATGACAACTAGATTTAGCAAAAAAAAGGGGGGTGGCGGGATTAAACAGTCAAACTCTGGAGAAACTTAGGCAGTGTGTGGAAGGACTCAGAACATGTGAACTTCCTTAAATAAAAATTTATTAACTTAAATAATTGTGCCTATGTTACAAATAATAAAAACCCTTTACAATTTTTGTAAAAAAACAAAACAAAACAAAACAAAAAACAAAAACAACTACAAACTCTGTCTCTTAGACTGCAGCTCAAATCTTTAGTTATTTTATCCTTAGCTAGGATTTTTTGGTGTTTTCCCTGCACGTATGTGTGGTTCATAGATCAGCCATATATTTGAACTGACCGTGTTCAGTGCTTCTTCAGACCACAAAGCCTGAGCATATTTTATTAGTGTTTGGGTTGTCCTACATGTTGTGGATTGAGGCATGCCCTCAGGCCAAAAGCTATAACAAATAGACAACTCATTTAGTTCCATTCTTCCAGAATTCTAAGTGTTGATTCCTCTCCAGAATCAACCTATATTTGGTCATTTTCCAGTGCTTTCAGGTGGTTGTTTATATTGTATTTTACTCTATAGTTTGTAGCTGTTCTATGCAGAAGGAATGAACTGATAGAAGGTTATTCAGCCAGTGTTCGAAGTACTACTAGAATTTTTTAGGTAAAAATAGTTGGAAAATATGGTGCGGTGAAGTACATTCTTCATGCCATATTATTTTAAAATCTCCAGGAAAAGAAAGAGAAATTATGATGTTTATAATACACACACACAGTAACAGAAAGAATTGGTTTTTCTGACTGCGAAGTTTGCTGAATAAAACATTAGATTAGTAGACATTTCCAATGTGAGTGTAGATAATTGACCTATGTCAGAAGAAAATTCTTAAGGTTAAGATATATATGTAGGGAAATAAAGTTTCTAGGGTTTATTGTGACTGTTTCCAAGGAGGTTATTTTAGTAGCCATTATATTTTACGACCTGTATATAGTGAAACCTTGAATTATTTTAAAAATTGAGTTCTGTTGAATATTGTACATCTAATGTGTTTTACTTGATATATATTTTGTTTTGATTCAGTTAATATAGACAAGAAGATAACTTAGAGTGTCTAAGTCCTCAAAATGATCAACTTATAATTTAAAAAATTTTGATCGATACTTTCCATAAAGTTTATATTTTGCATACAATTTCCACTTTTTTATTTTTTATTTTTTTTATTTCTTTCACAGATAGAGTGGGAGGGAGAGAGAGGAAGAGAGAGAGAGAGAGAGAAACATGGACATGAAAGGGACACATCGAGTGGTTGCCACCCGCACGACCAACCAGGGCCGGGGACAAACTGCAACCGAAGTACGTGCCCTTAGCGGGAACCGAACCCGGGTCTCTCCGGACCACAGGCCGACGCTCTAACCGCTGAGCCAAACTGGCCAGGGCTACAATTTCCACTTTCTAAGAGATGTTCCTTTCATATTTCTTCTTATTATTCCTTAGGTTCTTTGTGAAGCAGGAAGCAGAATCTGTGATTTGATTTTACATTCAACTCTGCCAGTAGTTTTCCTTTCTGCTCTATCTCCTTTCCTTTATAGTTCTTTCTCTAAAAAAAAATGTTTTTTTTTCACTACCTTTAATTTTTTAATACTCTGTGTAGTTAGAAAGATTCAGATACTATATATCTTATTTGACTTTTTTTCTCTTTACTGCTGCACATTCGCCTAGCCCTAAACCTTAGGAGTTGTAAAATAGTTTTAAATATTTTGTAGGGAATTTGAAGAAGTAACAGCAAAGACATTATATACTCTCATTCTACTGGGAAGGTCCTACTTGTTGAATTTTTAGGTGTTTCAAGATGTTCCAGTCAATTGACAAGGACTTCTTGCAGCGTCAGAACTGTAGGGATGATAAGAGTAATACAACTAGCAAGTAGTTCTGGTATTTAACCACTTTTGCATATTTACTCCACCAGAAAACTCAGCACTGCAGTAATATTCTACCCTTTTTAAAAATTTGGAAAATTATTTGCATGTCCTCAAAGTAAATTTTGAAGTAATAGTGCTAGTCAAAGAATGGAAAATATATTTTAATGAGATGTAAAATTCTACAAAGATTAGAATATCTTTATTTCTTAACACTTCTAAAAGAGGAAAAACAAAACTTAAACTTGAATTCTTAGAACTTTCTGACTACAATAATTGATTAAACTCTAGGTTTTAGTATATTTCTTATTATAAAGCCAAATGGTACTATATGCTTTTTTAATAAAATAGCATTCACAAATATGATCCATGCTTTTTTTATAGCGTATATATGGAGATTAATTTGCTTTTTTACTTTTTTAAAACTAAATTCTTTAGTTCTTATGTTGTCATAGATTATAAATAAATATTTTAGAAAATGTATATCCAGTTTGTAATGTGTTTCATTGGAATATCTGGTTGTATTAAATTTTTGGAGCAGAGCAGTGCACAGTATGGGTTCTTCTCTATAGGTTATTGGTTAATTCTGTGGGATTGGTGAGGATAAAGAAGGTGGAATTCGCTATCATTTTACTAGCTTACTCTTGTGCTTATACAAATGGTGAGATTATTATTATTAAGAGATTAGATAGGTTGCTTTTTTGTAATTATTGTTAATTTTTAGATTTAATTTTGGCACTAGAAGATCTTTGATACATACTTGGGGAAAATTTGTTTGCTCATTATGACATATATTATAAATAGTATATTGTTACTTGCTGGATAACATACTACTTTTTTAGGTTGTTTTATTGTGTAGAATATTCTATATCATCCAGTTTTACAGGTTTCAGAACTCAAAATATTTAGGATATTATCAAGGGAGATTAATTAAGGAACAGCATACAACCATTGTTGTAATACATTGCCAGGACTGTTTTTGAAGTTTTAAAAACTGAACTTGATGTAAACAGGCTTAATATATAGATGCAAGGACTTAAAAAACAAAAAACTGAAAAGCAAATGATTTATTCAGGGTTATAGAGTTAATGGCAGGCTTGTAACTAAGGCTCAGTTTTGTTTTCTAACATTGTGTATAATCCACACCAAGTAATATTTTCTGTATGGATAATTTTGATATACTAATTAAAAGATAATTTATGACTAAACTCCGATATTTTCCCAACTTTGTAAATCTGCTGGTGTTTTCTTCATTGTAATAAGAAAAAAAAAGAAATCATGCTATAGTAACTAATTCTTGCCCACACCTTTTTTCCCTTTAGAAAAATTGGAAGCTGCACCACCCACCCCAGGACAGCTGAGATATGGTAATGGTTCTATAGTTGTTAAATATTTTGCATCTATATTTTGGACTTGAAATAACTATATCATTTATTGATAGTACAAAAGAGTCAGTAAATTAAATATTTCCAGATAGAGTGGGTTATCCTCTTTATTATACAGAAACAAAAAATTTATACACTTGGTTTAAGACCTATTACAATATTATCACATTTCTAATATTGTTAACCATATCTATTACTGTTTACATATTTTATCATCTAGAAAAAGAGTTGTGCTTATCATAGGGATTTTCTTAATTCCCAGGAAAAAATATATTTACTCTAGTTTGGATTTACATTGGGTAATTGCTGAACTAAAATTACTAGGCTCAGGGCTAGGTAGAACTGTTCACTGGTGGAGAAAATACTTCTGGCTTGCTGTTTGTAGTAATGAAGATAGCAAAGTTCATTTAAAACCATCAGTAAGAAGGACCTTACGATGCTGCTGATGTGCTGTCTTTATTATGATAGGAATAAATATTCAAAGGCTAACAGTGAAGTAATGTAAAACAGTTTGGGAGCTTATTATAAAAAGAGTGGAAGGAGCCCTGGCCAGTTTGGCTCAGCGGTTAGAGCGTCGACCTGCGGTCCAGAGAGACCCGGGTTCGGTTCCCGCTAAGGGCATGTACCCCGGTTGCAGTTTGTCCCCGGCCCTGGTTGGTCGTGTGGGTGGCAGCCACTCGATGTGTCCCTTTCACATCGATGTTTCTCTCTCTCTCTCTCTCTTCCTCTCTCTCCCTCCCACTCTATCTGAACAAAAAAATGGAGAAATGTTGTCAGGTGAGGATAAAAAAAAAAAACAGTGGAAGGAGAGAATTATTTATAGTGCAGTGAATTTGAGTAGGGTTTTAGGTTAAAGCTAAATATTAAATGTGATTTGCTAATAACTGTTTTATAGAATAGTAATTCCCAAAGGAAATTGAAGAAATAACAAATTGAAAAGAGACCATTATATACTGGATGGAGAGACAACATAATTTTTAAAACCCTATTTAATAGTCTTGTTTTCTCTCAGAGGTAGAATATAATTTATATTAGAAATAATAACTTTTCCTAAATACCAAAGCAATTTAAGAATTCTTTAAGACTTCTCCGGGTAATCTTTCCTGATTCTCCTAGCCTGTATTCACCCCTTCTATATCTATACCACTGCATAATACTATTAATCATTTTTTTGGTCATAGAGAAATTAACTGTTTAAATGGGTGTTTTATCATATTCAAACATCTTTACAGCTGGTAACCAAGTCCCATTTATCTTTGTATCTCAAGTGCTCTGTGGAATATCCAGTACATGTTTATTTAACTTTCTGAAAATTATATTCTTTCCTTTGGATTGAAAATAAAATTTTTATTGACAGGTTACATTTACTTAGGTCTGAACATAAAAATGTGATATTTTATAGTTCAAAGTTCTAGCATTGTGTCTTGGATTTATTAACCAAATTTTTACTAATGGCAGTTAATCTAATATTAGTTTAATAGCCTTAGCACCTAATTTTAAGATATTTGTAACTGGCCAGCTTTAGAGATGCCAAAATGTTAAGTAATCCCAAAGGTTTCAAATTACTTTGCCATATTTACATTTCAAAAACAATTGAGAAGGTGATTTGGGAGACTTTTCTAGGGTCAACTATTTAAGTAGCTTTTTCTTCACTACAAATTGTTTCATTTAGTAAATTTTAAAAATTTTATTATATTATTTTGATGTATCAAATTTGTATTATATTTTTTGGAAATTGGGATTGTGTATATATTTTGGCTGCTTATTATGAAATTATGAATGGCTAGTAGTTAAACAACTAGACAGGCAAAAAGTAAAAGAAATAGGACTAGATTCTTTAATTGAAAAATCCCATTTCATTATGTCCTATTTGATTGTTATCATCTTCAATAGCATGTGAAATAATACTCTTTATAACTAAAAAGGTTTTGCTTTTCATCTTGGACATTCTTGCTTGATAACATGAAGAAATCTGAAATGACCTAGGATATATATTATTTTCCCTTGATCTTAGTCTTTAATAGTGGTTGTGAGTAGAAGTGTTTTTTGTTTTTTGTTTTTTTTTTAATTTTTTGTTTTTTTTTTATCCTCACCCGAGGACACTTTTCCATTTTTTGTTCAGATAGAGTGGGAGGGAGAGAGAGGAAGAGAGAGAGAGAGAAACATCGATGTGAAGGGACACATCGAGTGGCTGCCACCCGCACGACCAACCAGGGCCGGGGACAAACTGCAACCGAGGTACGTGCCCTTAGCGGGAACCAAACCCGGGTCTCTCTGTACCGCAGGCCGACGCTCCAACCACTGAGCCAAACTGGCCAGGGCGTTTTTTGGTTTTTTTGTAGGTTTTTTGGACTGTTTATTAACCTTCCTTGATTGACTCATTATAGTAATATCAAACTGTCATAATTTCTGGATTATACAGGGGCAGGCAAAAGTAGATTTACAATTTTTTATATGAAAAATATATAATACAAGAATAAATTATAATGCAAGAATAAACTGTGTTTTATGTACTCATAACTGTAAACCTACTTTTTACCCACCCCTGTATTTTAATTATACTATCTGTGGATGTTACTGCATAAAAAAGAAGACTCTAAAGTCACTGAAACTTAACACATAACCAGTTGGTTTAAGGGACTTTATTTTTTGGATATGATATAAAACTCAAAGCTTTGATGTTTAACCAAAAAAATGTTCTTGATGTTAACTATACCTTAGCAGTTTCATAGCTTGATTAGAATAAAGTCTTTTAATTATTTCTAGCTTTTAATCTGTTTCACTGTCTACCTTCAATTCTCTCAATCTGAAATTCTCTTTCTTTCCAGGTTAGTGGTCGTCAACTTAATTAATAAATGTTTGTTGAGCATCTCTGTGCACTAGGCATTCTGCAATGTGCTGAAGATGCAAATATGAAAAAAACGAGGCTAAATGTATAAAAAATATATAGGTATTAGTTCTTCCTAGTTACACTTCTATTATCTCAGGTTATTCAGATTGTATGCTAGATAGATGAGGTAAGGAAGAGGCCAAGTTACATTTTGATTTAAATAAAACATTGTTTGTTTATAGTTTGTGAAAGGAAAGCATTCAGGGATACTGATGCATTGTGAGGGAGGAAAAGATTTTGCACATAGATATCTAATATAGATGAGATAATCACATTTTTCTAACATTTGTTTAAAAAATTATTTAGTGAGTAAAAGTGACCAAATAGCTGCCTTGAAAAATGATTTAGGGAATTTTTTATTATTTCTAATGTGGAGATCAATTTTATGATATCAGTTTTTAGGTATAAGAGAGAAACAGATTGATGTCAATATCAAGTAAACAGGTAGAACATGGTATTTATAATATGTATTTACTTATTTGTTCTGCCATTAACTGTATAATTTGTGTGTGTTGCCAGTAAGAAAACACAAAAGCCTAATACAATTGTTTTTACACATTATGTTTTTTATTTTTATTTTTTTCTCGGTTTAGCTTCTACTAAGTAGCTAGACTTGTAGCCAGAGCAGAATCTTTTGGCTGTGGGTAAGCAAATTCCAAAGCTTATCAAATCTATTTAGGAGACTTTAATTATATGGTCTGTTTTTGTCATTTTAAAATTATAGAAATCTTAAAATATGTTTTTCTGTTTTTGCTGTTTTTCAGTATTCATCCACAATGCGATACCTTTTATAGGGTTTGGCTTTTTGGATAATGCAATTATGATCGTTGCAGTAAGTTCTTTCTTTTACTCCTTATATTTTGAATTAATAGAGAAATGTATGGGGTCTAAATTTTTCTAATAATTTACAAATTGTAGCTATAGAGTTTTAATTAACATGAATGAAGCTATTTTTTACTATATATTATGCTAATTAGACTATAGCTCAATTTTAAAGCATCATGTATATTATTTATTAAGACTTGGTAAAACATTGACAATAATAAACACATATTTATTGAATCTATATTATCCTGTTGTAGTTTTTAACATTCTTATTAAAGAAAAAAGTATGTAAAATTTTCTTATGTTCTTTAATTGTTCATTTAAATTGTTCATGAGTTCATATCAAATGTATGTTATTTGATTAGTTCTTTGTTCAGTTATCCCATGCAAAATGTTTTAAAGGGTATTTTGATACAGTCTATCTATCCATTAAACTGGAAGATGTTATAAATTTCAATTCAGAGCACTATGAATATATACCTCTTCTGTCTTTGTTACATTGTAACATTAAAAAGAGTTTTTCATTCCTTTGCTCGGGTCATTTTAATGTAAGGGTGTTCTTTTTTTTTTATGAATTTTTTATTTATTTTTTTGTTACAGATATTTTACCTTTTTACCCCATTGGCACCCCCCACCCCATCCCACCTTCACCCCGTCCCCGGCTTAGTTGTCCATGTCCATTGGTCATGCATACATGCATATAAGTTCTGTGGTTTATCTCTTCCCACCCCCCCACCCCCCACCCCCTCTTCTGAGGATATCAGTCTGTGCCCTACTTCCATGTTTCTGGGTCTACCGTATTCCTCAGACTGTTATGTTCATTATATTCCGTATGTAAGTGAGATCATGTGGTATTTGTCTTTTTCTGCTTGGCTTCTTTCACTTAGGATAATACTTTCCAGGTCCCTCCATGTCGTCTCAAAGGATAAGAGATCTTTCTTTCTTACTGCTGCATAGTACTCCATTGTGTATATGTACCACAGCTTTTTTATCCATTCGTCTACTGGTGGACACTTGGGCTGTTTCCAGATCTTAGCTATTGTAAATAGTGCTGCTATGAACATGGGGGTACATATATTCTTCCTGATTGGTGTTTCAGGCTTCTTAGAGTATATTCCCAGCAGTGGGATCACTGGGTCAAATGGAAGTTCAATTTTTAATTTTTTGAGGTAACACCATATTGTTTTCCATAGCGGCTGCACCAGTCTGCATTCCCACCAGCAGTGTATTAGAGTCTGTAAGGGTGTTCTTTAGAAGTTAGTCTCGGATGGCTGATTTACTATTATTACTATTATGTGACACCTTTTGTTAATGAATACCAGTATTGTTGGGTTCAGATTCTAAAGTCAGAAAATAAGTCCATGATTAAAATGCAACTATTTTGAAATTACCCAGTGCTCTATCCACTTCTCTTCACTGACTCTGACTTCAATAAAATTCTGTGAATTCTAGCTGTTGTGCAGGAAACTGTTAAAAAAAAAAAAAAAAAGAAATGATTTTTGGATTATCGAATGTGAGGAAAATACATATGAGAGATGAAAGGGTTTTTTGTTTTGTTTTTTGGTGTTTTGGAGATCATGTACTACTACAGATGGACATAAATAGAATATTTGGTTTTAAAATAGGGATAAAAGGATAATTTACATTGTATAGATTATAAAATTTGCTTAAAGAATATCTAAAATTAATGAACAAAATGCACTGGTGAACAAAATAGACCCAGAGACATAGAAAGGAGTATGGTTCAGACTGACAAACCTCAGAGGAGAGGGGTAGAGGAGAGGGATGAGATCAACCAAAGAGCTTATATGCATGTATGGGTAACCAGTGGACATAGACGACAGTGCTGGGGCGGAGGGGTGGGATCGGGAGGAGGGTGTCGGGGGCGGGGGGGACATCTGTAACAAAAAATAAATTAATAAACAATTTAAAAAAACATTATTGACATTTTAAGGAATTACTGACATTATGTCTATAGCAACTCAAAAATCTTTAATACAGTTTTTAAAAAAAGGGAATGCTTAAAAAATCAGCAAGGGCATTTCCTATTTGTAAGCATTTGAACAGGGCCAGATTAAGGCCTCCAATGGCCTCCACTTACATCAGAGGTTCCAGAGACTTGGGCTTAATGAAGATGCCAGTGGGATAGAGCTGGGCAACTTGTAGCTTGATAGCATTTCCCGATACATCAAGTTAACAGTGTTTGCCCTGGTAGAAAGAGAAGAAAAATATGGAGTAATCCAGAAAAAGTGATCATAACCCAACATCCTCTAAAAATAATGGAAGTGTGGTTTAGGGGAAGATAAGGGATAATGGATTTCTAAGCATTGTGATGGATCACTGCAGAGCATAAATAAAAGTTTGATACACTGGTCATCACTGAAAAAAAAAATCTAAAATTGGTTTATTCAAGAATGTTTTTTGTTTGTTTGTTTGTTTTGCTATATAGTCTCATTTTATGTCCAGATTGGTGGGAATCCGATATCCAGAAAGTCTAGCCATTTACCTAGGTGAGGAATCTGACAGGGTTCACACAGCAGAAAGGTATCCTACTTCATAATAGTCACAGAAGATACTCTAACATTCACACAACTTCGAAGGTGATAACACCCAGTGGATAATTCCTTTACAGAATAGTCTGGCAAAAGCCTCTAAAATGTAATTTCAAAATGCTAGATTTTTTACTGATTTGAACATTTTCCTAATATGTATATAAGAATAAAATTGGCTAATTTATATATCTGAATGTGAGATGCTTATTCAGCCACTTAGAACTATATTGTCTTTTCTGAAATTACCAAAATCTAAGGTGGTTAGATGATTAAATTAAATCAAATCTAATTGTAATGAAAGCCTTGTCATGATGAATTTATAAACTATACTTAAGACTTGATGTGTTTCTTGAATAGATTGTCTGAATGAAAGTCTTTCTGTGGCAAATATTTCTTTCAATTTTACATGACTCATTCAATGTTTTATATATGTTTTTATTAACAGCTAACAGCCCCCATACTTCCATCTTAATAATCTTTTTTTTTTTCATCTCAATGGGGCAGACCTTAGATATTCAAATGCTGAAAGACTAACTTCGCTACAGGGAAGTGTTGAGACTATATATTTGCTTACAGAGAGGCTCAGGGAGATTTTGAAGAGTGGTAGTTTTTTAGATCCTGAATAAGACCTTTACTTATGGTCTTATCATTTATATGAAATAAATATCTAAAGTAATATATATCAGCATTTAAATAGAGCTACCAACAAGATGAAACACCCACATTCTAGAGTCAAATTATTGTACTATTTGTGACTCAGACCCTTTGTCTCATAATTAGTATAAGTGAGAGTGGACTATTTTTGTAGTCCCCAGATGGTTGACTCCAATTTAGCAATATTTGTTTTTCTAGTTTACATTGAAATCCATTTTCAGGGACTCAATCAATAGGTTATCATTTATATAATACTTAAACAAATATTTAAATCACTGGTTTCAATACCTGATTGAGAGTAGTAGATGTGGCAAAAATATTATCCTGCAATAATGGCAAACTAATTCAGGGACAGTGCAGTTTTCCAAGAGGCTTTGTAATACACTGTCAAGATTAAAATACATAAATAATATAAATATAGAATCTGTGAAAAGGGAAACAGTGATCATTATTATAAGATTTTTCTTTTACCTTTTTTAAAAAAGTATTGATTTTGGGATAGCTATGTCTGTTTTAGGATAGTAATTTGTTTTGTTTTTTTCTCTGTGGTACATGCCCCTAGCGGGAACTGAACCCGGGACTCTCTGGTACGCAGGCCAATGCTCATCTGCTGAGCCAAACTGGCCAGGGCTGGGATAGAGATTTAAGAAGACATTTGATTCTGCTTTTCTATCATAGACATTTGATATTTTCTTCTTTCCAGTTAGGTGTACTCTCTGGGCTGCTGCTACCCTGGTTATAGTAATAAAAACAAATTTGTATATATAACTTCTTGTAATAGATTTGACCTTTATTGTTGACTACGAATCATATTGAGTTTTTGGTTTTATAGCCTGTTAATTATATTTTTATGTTATTGGGATGTTTTCGTAAGTTAGTGAGTTTTTGGATTTTTTTTATGGGGCAATTTAACTAGGATAGACTTTATTAAAATTTTAGAGTATATTAACTATATTAAGGTGATGAACCAGGTATACCTTTTTTTTTTTTTTAATCCTCACTGGAGAATATTTTTCCATTGATTTTCAGATAGAGTGGGAGGGAAAGAGAGAGAAACGTCAATGTGAGAGAGACACTTCGATTGGTTTGCCTCCTGCACGACCCCGACCAGGGCTGGGGACCGAACTGCAACTGAGGTATGTGCCCTTGACCAGAATTGAACTGGAGACTCTTTGGTCCAAGGACCGACGCTCTAACTGCTGAGCCAAACCGGCCAGGGCATTAAGACAATTATTACATTTATTTATAATTTCTAACTCACCTGTTAACATGAAATTTGATTTAACTATGGAATAAAGTAAAGGAATGAATAGTCTATTGCCTTACTGACTTTGACTTTATATGAGGCTTTTTATACTATTAGAAGTTTCCTTAAATGTAATGAAATGATTAAGCACTTAAATACTTGTTAAATACATTTATTGCAAATGGATTCTTCTTGGGTCATTTCTAATGATTTGTTGCTGTCATAGGTGATATATTGATTCTTTATATGCTGTAACTGTCAGGTACTTCTCTTCTGTATTACAGCTCCAGTGTTGTTTGTTTTTGTATCCATTTATAAAGATACTCATCTTTATTTGTGCCTGTGCTTCGGAAATCTCTTCTTTGGGTTCCTATACAACCTTGTAACTTTAAATGCCTGAGAGACCTTTGTGCATCAGGCTGTTTCAACCATAGTCTATAAGAATTTGTTTTAAAGGAGTGGAACCAACAAGCCTAGGGGAAAGAAAATTGGGGAAAACTTAACTCAGCTTCTCCTTACTTTTATAAATAATTGATTAATGCAATATTTCGACACACCAGATAGCATTCTTTTTTTCTCCACAAATATCATCGAGAATTTTAAAAATTTCAAGCATTAGTATTCAAGAGAGCATTTGAAAATTAAGTCCATTTAAGGTAGAATAACCCAAGGATTAGAACTGAACTAGCACAATAGTTCCTAGGATTTCTTCTTTAGTCTGTGTAATTACCCATTAAAATAGTTTAATCTTCTTCACTTCACTTCTCTTTAAAGTAGAAGTAAAAATATGAGCTCCTCTTTTCTTCAGAGGAATGAGCTAGATGTAGAAAGTCTTAAATTCTCTCATGCAGTGGAAATACAATAGAGCCTCATTTTTGTTGGAGCTCTATTGCATTAAATGCTATGCTGCTTATAAATGAATCAGATAGTTCCACTACATAATGGCTCAAGAACTAAGTGTTAAAAGGGTAATTTTTGAAGTTTATGATATTTTGGGTCTCTAGAAACTGGATGAGTCTGTCTTTTTAATCTTTTATAGGATAAATAACAATAGCATAGGTGTAGCATTCAGAATTTAAAATATAGGTGAGTTTGTCATCTTTGTGCTCAAAGAGCTTTAAAGCACCTTTTCTCTGTGGTAGAAAAATATAAATCTTAGATTCTTAATGATGAATTGTATTGTGTATGTGTTGCTATGTTTTATTTTTATGAAAGCCTAATTTTAATGAAAATATTGATGTTATTTCTTCACAAATACATATACTTAATAATTAAGTGAATCGCTGCCTTATATGTGCATATTTCTGCATATTTTGTATATAATTTTGCTGTGATAATATGTTTGACTACTTTATATGTGTTTATTAATGCTTTGTATTCTGTTATAGTCACTACAGCTTTAACATTTTAAGATTAATTTCTTTGTAATCGCTTTTCAGGGAACCCATATTGAGTTGTCTATTGGAATTATTTTGGGCATTTCAACTATGGCAGGTATTTATTCTACTGTGTGTATATTTTAAAAATATTTCAGTAGGTTAGGTGTAGAAGAGGATAATTTATTTGAATGAGTTTACTCGTTGAAATGTCTACTAGTTTATCTCCTAAATTCTATTCTTTTAATTCTTAAATTTGAATATGTAGTACTTTTTTTTTCTGAGAAATTTTAGATATTTTATGTTAGTTAATGGGTAACAATAATCTATTATATTGACATGTTTAAAAAAGTTTTTCTTTTAATTGATACCCTGAAAACTTTCTACCCTTTTTCTCTATTAAATTATTTATTTTCAAAATGGGTAGAAACGTCAAAAAAGAAATACAAGATGGAAAATTTAATTTGGTTCTATCTTTTTCTTTCCTCCCAATTAAAATTTTGTTCTTCATGATGGTGAAATTGGGGATAGTTTATTGTTGTGTGTATTGTATGGAACACATAAGTAGATGAGTTAATGAAAGATGAGTTAATTCCTTGAATTTCAGAGCTGTACATAGGGCTTTTCCAAATATCCAAATACATTATCTGAAATTTACAACTGCAAAATACTGTACACATGTTTTAATATTGAAATCAAAATGGAAACTGGCTGCAACAACAGAAAAAAACCTACACCTTGATATAGGGAGAATACTAGACCCTCTGGAGAATTGTGTTCTCTTATGAAATCTTGAGAGTCAGAGCTCTCCAGTGAGTTACTTTGGATACAGTTGTTTTAGTTTGAGAATTTTGATAATGCTTTCAGACCAGTGCTTTATTGATTACAAAGTGATGTATTATAATGATTTTTGTGACTTCCATGTAACAGTTTGCTTGTCCCTTTTTCACTTTTTTAGCCGCTGCTTTGGGAAATCTTGTGTCAGATTTAGCTGGTCTTGGGTAGGTCCATTCATTTATTCATTTGTTCATGTGTGTACTTACTTGCTCTCCTTTTCTTCTCTATTCTCCAGTAATTGAAAAGGCCTAAAAGAAGAAAGACATTTATGTTTATGTGTGTTTTAGAACTAAATTTTAAAATTTCTAAATCAGTAGTACTAAATCTTTGGTACATATCAAATATAGATGCCTGGGAACACCTCGGTCATAGAGAATTAGTGTTTCTGGAGATGGGGCCTTGACATTTGTGTTTAATAATCTTCTCAAGCACTTCTCATATATGCAACATTTTTCCTAAAACTATCATAATGTAAGCAGAGTTCGTATTTATATGTATGTATTTTATAGACATTTCCAAGGCTGAGACAGGTTTAAAAGTAAGAACCTCTATCATTATTCCACTCCACCCTCTTCCCACTGAGCCCCAAAATAAGAGATATGGTTCAAAGGTGAGGATACTGACTGGGCATGTTTTTTCTAGAAAGAGGAGCTTTCAAGGGGAATAATGACCCAAGCATACATATGTTTGGCCAATTTTTGCTCTTTTTACTCCCTGTGGCAGGAATGATGAAACAAACTGAGGATATCTACTTAGAAAAGGCCCCTTTTCTCTTTCTACGTTTATACTCCCACTTTCAAGTGGCAAATGGCCTGGGCTGCTTCCTGAGCTTGGGGAAGTCTGAGAAGTATAAATTAGACTAAGTCGGCATTAATTATAGTGATAAACATACTCTCTTGCTCAGTCTTTGTTTCTGTTTCTTCCTTCCTTGGTTCATTGGGGTGGTAAGTTTTGAAATTTGGATTTGAGGCTAATAGAAGTTTACTTACCCCTATAATCTAGGCAAAGGCAGCTTTATAAGTGATCTAACCCAATATATTAGACTTCTGCACTGGAGTTGGGGCCAAAACTGTTAAAAACAAAGTTTCTTTGCTTTGGGGCCAAGGCAGAAATTTTGTATTCCTGGAATTTCTGGCATAAATCTGTAATGCTATCACCCCTCAAATATTCCATTTCCCAGTTTCCAATATTAAGGTTAGTAATGATATTATAGCTGCTGTGATAGCTTTCTATATTTAATAGAACTAAGTGATCTAATGGATTTTAAGACCATTTAGTTTTAGATTGTATCATAAAACAATTATTTTTGGTTAGAGATAAAGATTTTGTTGGGAGACTTAATATTTAAGAACTATTTCTTCTCTACCTTTTATTTTTATTTATTTATTTTTTTATTCTCACTCGAGGCCTGTTTTCCATTTTTGCTCAGACAGAGTGGGAGGGAGAGAGAGGAGAGAGAGAGAGAAACATTGATGTGAAAGAGACACATCGAGTGGCTGCGTCCCGCACAATCCCAACCGGGGCCGGGGATAAACTGCAACCAAGGTACGTGCCCCCAGCAGGAACTGAACCCGGGTCTCTCTAGACCACAGGCTGACGCTCTAACCGCTGAGCCAAACCGACCAGGGCTCTTCTCTACCTTTTAAAAAATACCATTAAATAACAAATATCACATTTTGCTGGTTCTTAGATGCATAGTTTTTTTAGACTTAACAAATTTGACATTGGGATCCATCTCATCATTGATGACATACATAGTTTAATTGGCCATCTTTTTTACATTCCAATAAGTGATGGTAACTTAGAATTGATAAATACTTGAGATTGTCCAGAAGATTCTATGCTGTTTTTATTATATCTATCTGATAAATTTTGGAAGTTTTTGCTTTCTAGTGACAGTTATTAGTTTACATCATATGTTAAAGTGCTTTACTTTGAATTTAGAATAAAGCATAAATTGTAATTGTAAAAAAATTTATATACTTTGAATTGGTCTTTTAAAAGTAATGGTAGAGAATAAGTTCTCTAAGTCAATTAATTGATGTATGTATTAACTATAGTAATATTGAAAATAGTTTTAAACTGGATATATTTATATACAACAAGAAACAAAAGTTTGTGAAAATGTTTATACTGTTTCTAGGGTGCTAATTAGTTACGGGTGTAAAGTTATCTTGTTTCTCTTGTAATAATTTATTTTTTACTATCTGAGGACGTTTGTGTGTCTCTTTAACAGCTTATATTCTGTCCTCATGTATTTTTAAAGACTTGCAGGCTACGTTGAAGCTTTGGCTTCCAGGTTAGGCCTGTCAATTCCTGATCTCACACCAAAGCAAGTTGACATGTGGCAAACGCGTGTTAGTACACATTTGGTAAGTACTTTATATGGCTTATGATGATGAATTTGGGTAGCCAGCAAGTTCAGTCCCTTGAGAAATTTGAGACTAAAATTGATTTGAATGGAGTTTTTAACACAAATTGTCCAAGTCTGGGCAGTGTTCAGAGGAAGAATAATTTTGGCTCATACTTTGTAGGTGTATTTGATTTTTAAAAAATTCTTCATATGTTTCAGTTAATCTTAAGGTATCAGTTATGTGCTAGACATAAAATGAATATAAAGTAGTTATTTAGAGGATTGTTTTAGTAGAGAACCAGACATTTTAACAAATTATATTAGTGTGACATATGCAGTAATCGGATTATGCACTAGATATAGCAATAGCACAAGTGAGAGAATTAACACTTTGTGGGGAGAAATTTTTTGGGGGGGCAGATTTGTTGGTGATTATTATATTTAAGCTGATTTTTAAAAATTACTGATGGGAAATTTACTAGGTGAGCAAGAGAATTCCAAGTATATTAACTTAGCAAGTAGAAAAGCATGATAAAAACAGGGTGTGTTCAGAAAAATACAAGAAATTAATAATTACTGCGATATAATATGTAGTAGTTGTAGATAGAAGCAGTAGTAGAAAACAGCATTGGAGAATTAAGAATGGATCAGACAGGACAGGCATTTTTCTGTTGATGTATAAACTATGCCAAGGAGCTTAATCGTCATACCTATGTGATGGAGTGTTATTTTAAAAAGGAAAGAAACTGAGTGGATCACAGTGCTACCAGTTAAGTCAAGAAGAGGAAGAAAAAACAACTTTGTAAGGGAAGAGAATGAGTTCTATTTTGGACGTGTTGAATTTGAGATGTTAGTAGGACACTCAAGTGGTGAGACCTAGTAGGCATTTGGACTAAAGGTCAAGAGTTAGAGAGGTCTGAATTAGAAATGATGGGTATAATCATTCATTCATTCATTTGACAAGTATTTATTGTTAACCCATTATATGCAGGGTACAGATCTAGGAGTTTTGAACATACTAGTTAATAAAACAAGATCTTTTTTTTTCTTTTTTTCTGGTGAGTCTTATTTTATAGCAGGGTGAGGGGGGAGAAACAATTTAAAAACCTAACAAATAAAATATTTAGTATATTGGAAGTTCACAGTGTTATGGGAAATTAAAGAAAAGAAATAAAGCCAAGAAGAGTAAAACAGGTTGGGAGTGCTAGAATGGAGACAGTTTGCAATATTAAATAGGAGGGTCACTGCAGGCCTCACTGAAAAGGTTGGTGATAGTTAAAATTATGTGAGAAGGTAGGGCAGTGATTCTCTAAGTTTGATACCAGGACCAGCAGGACCAATATTACCTGGGTATTTATTAGATATGCAAATTCGCAGGCTCTACTTCAGAATTGTCTATTGCTGCATAAAAAATTGTCTGGCCCTGGCCGGTTTGGCTCAGCGGTTAGAGCGTCGGCCTGCGGTCCCGAGAGACCCAGGTTCGGTTCCCGCTAAGGGCACGTACCTCGGTTGCAGTTTGTCCCTGGCCCTGGTTGGTCGTGCGGGTGGCAGCCACTCGATGTGTCCCTTCACGTCGATGTTTCTCTCTCTCTCTTCCTCTCTCTCCCTCCCACTCTATCTGAACAAAAAAAATGTCCTCGGGTGAGGATAAAAAAAAAAAAAAAAAAAAGCCCAGCCGGTGTGGCTCAGTGGTTGAGCGTCGACCCATGCACCAAGAGGTTGCCGGTTCGATTCCCGGTCAGGGCACATGCCCAGGTTGTGGGCCCGATCCCCAGTGGGGGGCAGGCAGGAGGCAGCCAGTCGATGTTCTCTCTCATCGATGTTTCTATCTCTCTCTCCCTTATTCTCTCTCTAAAATCAATAAAGATAAAAAAATTTAAAAAAAAAAAAAATTGTCTGTTTGTGTGTGTCCAAATCCTGCAATTTGCATATAAATTGAAGGCCAGCTAGCTGATATCCATCAGCCAGAGTCATTGAGGAATTAGGATATTCTAAATTCTAGCAATTTGGCTTAACATTTTAACATTACACTTGGGATCAAGAGAAGATTCTTTTTCTGGGGTCTTCTCACATAGCTGATAATTCTGGTATTTTTTGTTGTTTGTTTGTTTTCTATAAACATTTAAGCAGGTCCATTTCCCCTCTTCTGTAACAAAAGTACCTCAAATACTAAACTGTTATATAAATATGTATTTATTTGTGTGTGTGTGTGTGTTTTTTTTTTGTATCCTCACCCAAGGACATTCCTTGATATTTTGTTCAGATAGAGTGGGAGGGGGAGAGAGAGAGAGAAACATCGACGTGAAAGGGACACATCGAGTAGTTGCCACCTGCACAACCCAACCAGGGCCGGGGACACACGGCAACTGAGGTACGTGCCCTTAGTGGGAACCGAACCCAGGTCTCTCGGGACCGCAGGCTGACGCTCTAACCGCTGAGCCAAACTGGCCAGGGCATGTGTCTGTTTTATTATAAAACCTCATAAGCATATGAATTCTATTCCTTAGTTATTGACTCTGCTTGTTATATGTTAGGATCAAACCTTCTATTCTGTAACATAACATTTGGTTATAATCTGCCTGTAGTGGTTGAAGTTAGTGATTAGCCATCTAGTTATGACATTAGGTAACTCTGAAATTTACCCATAATAGAATACATGCCAATACGCATGTGGCTTCTAACTGACATTGTATTTTAAAACCTCACTTGTAATTTGATTGTTTGAAACTGAAAATATTTTCTTGTAGAACAGTATTACAGTTGTACTTAAGTCTTTGGTTAACTGCAGTATAGTTAACTATAGGACCTAGTATCATAAAATCTGATAATAATATATATAAGTAACTCTTCTTACAATGGAAACATATGTTTCTGGTCCTGGATCAGGGAGCCAGAAAAGGATATCCTATTTCTTTCCCCCTTCTCTGCCCTATTGACTCTGTTGAGATAATTGTGTTGCAACTCATTGATTGGCATTCCTAAAGTGAGGGGGAAGAAAGCCTTGGTTTTCAAGGATGATAGCAGCAGGCATTCTAATGGAATGGGTGGGAAGTGGAAGTGGAGTCTATTAGCCATGGTCATTTCATGTATATGGGGAAGTCAGGAATCTACACTAGAATACAGTCTCTGTAAATATATATAAATAAATAAAAACATTAGCTAAGGTCAAAATAAAAATCTAGGTGAAGTTATTTTCTTGTCTTCTCACATTAAAATATATATCTAATTGTTAGTAAGTGTTTTCTACTTGAATATTTCTTTGATGTTATTTTTATGGCAATTTGATAAAAATATTTTCCTGGTTGCTTTGAACTTTACCATTTGTTCTAGAATCTTTTTGTAGCTTATTTTTATATATTAGTTATTATGATCAAAACACATGTAGTTACAGTTGAATTTTATATTACATAGTAATTGTTTATCATAGATACTTAAGCAAGAATTCCTATTACAGGGATAAAATAACTTTCAAAAAATGTTTTCTTTTGTTTCCTTAGGGCAAAGCTGTTGGGGTGACTATTGGCTGCATTCTAGGAATGTTTCCTTTGATTTTCTTTGGAGTAGGTGAAGAAGATGAAAAACTGGAAAAGAAAAATAAAAATAAACCTTCTTAGAGTACCTATAAAAAGATGTAAACTAATGTACCTCAATGATTAAAAATGCTGTCACAACATTAGGAATTAAGACAGTAACAGTGTATAGATATGGGATCAAATTATTCAGCATGTATTATGGAAAACACTAACTTATTGTTGCTTGGTTTTCTTAGGACATCTTTTTTTAAAAAAATTGTTTAGTATCATTTTATGTAAATTGTTGAAATGCTTTTTCATCAGTGGCAGTCAACATTTTACCTTTTCCTTCTCTTTCTTTATATATCCAAATATCATTTAAGTGTTAGTCATTGATGTACTGTACTGACTTGGGGTTTGCTTATTTGTTACTTAATGTGTACATGCATGAAAGCATTTTCTGTTGTTGTGTTCCCTACAGTTACAATTCAACCTTAAGATTTTTCCAAATTACATAAGATGTTTAATGTCAGTTGAAGATTTTTTATTCTCTTTCTGGCAACATCATTTTTATACTGTTTCACAGTAAAAATTCACAATAATATAATTTCAATCATTTTTATTTACTTCCACAACTATATTCAAACAGATGCAGACTTTAAGTATTTTAAGTTCCTATTACTTATTTTCATTTCCTAACCTTACTGTGTCAAGTGCCAGAGGTCAATCAGAATGAGCAATTATGTGGTCTCCCTACTACATAAAACCATATATATTAAGTATATTATTTCAAATTGATTTTTTTGCTTTTAATTTCTCAATTTTGCATAATTACATGGTGGTTTTGACTCCTGAGAGGAATAAAATTATTATTTTAGGGTCTTTTAAATGGTGATTGTAGAATCAGAATGAACTAAGGGTTTGACATGACACGAAAATTAAGAGGCTAAAATTCTTTTTAAGAGAAATAGAGAATGGGAACTGTCAAGAAGGTTTATGATGCCCTGGCTGGTTTGGCTGAGCACTTAGAGCATCAGCGGGTTTGATTTTGGTCAAGGGCATGTACCTCGATTTTGGTTCATCCCCATCCCTGGTCGGGGCCCTGTGGGAGGCAACCAGTCAATGTGTCCCTCTCACTTTGATGTTTTTATCTTTCTCCCACTCCCTCCCTTTCAACCTCCCTCCCTCCTGCTCTATCTGAAGATAAATAGAAAAAAAATATCCTCAGGTGAGGATTAAAAAAAGAAGGTTTATGGTATAAGTGGTGAAGTTGATAGGATGTAAGGTTAATGAGAAAGAAATTATATTGTTTGGGAAGGATTTTTTTCCTCCAAAAGGTCTTCTCATTTGAATGGAGTGAGTCTGAGTACTTCCTACTCATAGTCCTGATATTGGTGTATCTTGTTTAGTGAATTTTATTTCTGGATAACTTCTTTTGAGGTGAAAAATAAATATTTTATATTTTGATTTCTGCTATATATAGTCTAATAGGCGAAAGTTACATAAGTTGAAATCTTTTCTCTCTCCTTTTTGGTCTTTTTTTCTTCTTTAATGGTATTTAAATCATATTCTAGGCTGAAGTACTTATTTCCAGTCTTGTATATCTGACTTAAGTATAACCATGTAGGAATCATAAATTTTAATTTTCTTAACCCTTAAAGTTTGTTAGCATGTGGCCTGTTACATATGCTAAAAAATTACTCTTACTTGTAAGAGTAATTAAACACATCATAGAGAAGAAAAACTGAAATTAAAATTACTGTTTGGACTGCTGAAATTATTTATGTTGGTAAATAGATGCAAAAGGAAGGAATTTATAAGCTGGCTATATTTATAGCTACCTTATTTGAAAATTTTATTTCCATGTATTTACTTTGAGCTCTTTTTTTCAGAGGAGCTGGTTTTTTCCACAAGGCAATTTATCATAAATTCTCTTTGGTGCACTTCAAAATAATTTAGTGCTATCCTTTAATCATAGATTTTTGAAGGAAAAAAAATAAATCAAACAATAAAAAGATAAATATATACCATTCTTATTATGTACAAATAGTATGACAGTCTCATTTGACCAAGTTAGAATTATAGAACTTGATACGTTAAACAGAATTTTGTTTGTATCTTCCACATAGTACCATACACATACTGAAAGTTGTTTTATTATTTCAGATGAGAGGATTGGAGTGCTTATTAAAAAAATTTTTTTATAAATGTTTATTTGCTTTTGTCCCTAACTAGTAAATTGCCAGTCCTTTCTGTTTTCTAAAAAAGCATTTTATTGTGGTGCTTAAAATTTTTAAAAATTAAATCCCATATCCAGAAACTGTGAGTTTAGAAAGGGCTTTTGATTACTGCTTTTTCTTTTTGCTGTTGAAAATAACCCAGTCCTACAGAATCTTTCAGTTTAACTGAACATCTGTATCTAAGATGTGGCTAAATAATACAACATGAGCTACTTTCTAGTATTGTTCGTTTAAAATTCATGTTGTCCGTGTATTATGATTTATTGACTTCTTGATGCATGTAAACATAAAATCTTCATATTGAAAGATATTTCAATTTATGGACACAATAAAAATTTGCATTATTCAGGCAATTACTTTTCAAAAAACGGGGCCCTTTTATCCTAAGATACACATTTTTTCAAGATCTTTGTGTTTTGCACAAAGTGTTTTCTGAAAAATGGTTTCCTTTAAGATAATTACTTTATGTAGCCATTATTTGATATTACTTGCCACAAAGAACCTTATTTCAGATTAAAACTGGAGTTCTTATTTCTCATATTAGCTATTTCTTTATTGGGAGCACTATAACTGTGGCTAAAGGCAACGTAAGCTACTTTTTAGTACTGTTTGTTTAAAATTCATGTTGTCCGTGTATTATGATTTATTGACTTCTTGATGCATGTAAATTGGGTGCATTTTGTTGCCACTGTATGTTAAATGGTGACCAATGTTTTTACAAAATAATTGAACAAAAAACCTTTTAAGAAATTTGGAATGTGGTTTTGATTTTGAAATTTGATTTTCTTCCTAATCTCAGAAGGACCCTGGTTATTGTGTCACTAAAGGAAATAGGGTTAATAGATGCAGATTTGTTACAGGGTTATAGCAATGTCACTGAGATGGTAAAATGGAATTGTTTATCACCTCGCTGAAATCCACACTTGAGATACAACATTACATATTATTCCAGAAGAAGGATCCCATATGGAGATAATTTATCTTTAAGAGGATATAAAAAAAAAACAACAAAAAACAAAAACTTTAGAAAGATTACACAAATTATACTAATGGACATTTACAGCAGAGATATTCAAGCCTTCTATATAATAATGCCTCATTTACTTTGCTCCTTTTCTCTAGAAGGTGAACTTTGAAGGTAATGGAAATTTATCTTTTACAACAAAAGTTTGTCCAAACCATTTTGAAGTAAATCTTTCTAATTTTAGAATTACATTTTCTTGCCATCTTAAAGCGTGTATTAAATGTAATGTAATCTTTTTCTTAGCGGCTAAGCATCATTTTTGTGGACACAATGATTGTGTTGTAATGCAGTACCTTGGGAATCTGGTTTTTATTTCTCATTTTTCTCCCATCTTTTCGCTGCTCTCCCTTCTGGCAACAGCTTTGTCTCTCTAATTTTCTGCTTCTCAGCTATATGGACTTAGAAACTAGATAGCTCCCCTGGTTGGTGTGGCTCAGTTGGTTGGGCATCATCTAGTGCACCAAAAGGTTGCCAGTATGATTCCCGGTCAGGGCCCATACCTGGGTTGTGGGCACGATCCCTGGTAGGGGGTGTGCAGTGCAGGAGGCAGCCTATTGATTTTTGCCTCTCACATCCATGTTTCTCACTCTATCTCCCTCTTCCTCTCTCTCTAAAAATCAATTTTAAAAAATCTTAAAAAAAAGGAAACTAAACAGCCAGGTTTACCATACATTATTTGGGAACTATTAATAAATTAGATATGAAGCCTGAGTGACATGATGAAAAAATATAATGTTAGATCCTTTTTATTAAGCACTTATTTATCGCTGTGTACTGTAATGTTTTACACACATTATCACATTTAATTACTTTAATAACAATGTTAAGTTGATGCTATTATTATTCCTATTTCATGTTGGGTAAATTGAGACACGAAGAGGTTAATTTGTCCACAGTGTTACTACTAGTAAGTGGAGGGGAATCTAGCTTTGTCCAAGTGTAAAGCCTATGTTTTTAACTACTATACAATAGGGACATCAGTTGCATGAGCTTTGTAACATCTGTTCTCTGCTTAGATTCCTTTTTACCTGCATATTTATGGAGTCACTTTCTCATCTATAAGCTTAGGGGAATTGTACTTAATATACCCCTGCATATTTACTGGCAGGGAAATGGCCCAGAAATGTGCAGAGACCACCCCGAAATTCATAAAGTCAGTAGCTAGTCCACCAGCAAATAACTTAGGGTTTATTGTGTGCTCGTAATGAAACCTTACACACAGATCGCTTCTTTTCACCAAAGCAATAAAAGGTGTTGGCATATGAGTTGTAACACTGAAGTTAGTTTTTTTCTTCTGTAAGTTTTTGAAATGGAATAGTAATTAAAGCAAGGGCAATTTAATTATAATTTAAATTTTGAAGTTTTAGCATTTTCAGGGTCTACTGATCTTACACTGACAGCCATATGAAGCACGTGGTATCTTGTATTGGTTCTTATGTGAAATTTTATAACATCAAACATACGTTAATATTGTTGATAAGTTAATGAAATAAATTTAAGCAAATTTTTAAATTGGTACAAAGAGTAAAGAGTAGGCATCTGAGGGATTTTATAATTTCCCTACAACTCTAAGTCAAATTTTTGTTTAAATGAATAAAATGTGAGATGATGACTGAAGTTAAACTCACAGGAACATTGGGGTGCATATATCTTTTCAAATTAGTGTTTTCATTTTCTTTGGATAAATAATCAGAAGTGGAACTGCTGGATCATATGGTAGTTCTATTTTTAAATTTTAAGGAACCTCCATACTGTTTTCTGTAGTGGCTGCACCAGTTTATATTTATTCCGCCCATACATGAGTGTTCTTTTTTTCCCACATTCTCATCAAGACTGTTATTTCTTTTCTTTTTGAAAAAAGCCATTCCGACAGGTGTGAGGTGATACGTCATTGTGGTTTTGATTTGCATTTCCATGATGATTAGTGATATAGAGCATCTTTTTTGTGCCTGTTGGCCATCTGTATGTTTTCTTTGGGAAAATGTCTATTCAGATCCTCTGCCCATTTTTTAATTGGATTGTTTATTTATTGAGTTATTTATATACTTTGGATATTAATCCCTTATGATGTGCAAATATCTCTCATTTAGTAGGTTGCCTTTTTGTTGTGTTAAGGTTTCCTTTGCTGTGCAGAAGCTTTTCTAGTTTGATATAGGACTATTTGTTTATTTTTGCTTTTATTGCCCTGGCCTTTGAAGTCAGATCCATAAAAACATTACTAAGATCAATGTCATAATCTCCAAAGCAGGCAAAAGCAATTAGCAGCTATTGATGAGCCATCAGAATGTCTTAATAATTATAGCATTTTTATAGCAAAATAGGTAAGGAGAGTACATTTTCC